AAGTAGTGACGATAATGAAACATCCGAAGCTCAAGACGATCACTGAATCCATTCAATCACTCCACTTTTCGAAAGCAGGTGGTATTTCTGGCTCGTTGGGTTTCCGCTGCACGCAGTCTCGGTGACCAGCAACGAGAGCACTGAGCGGAGGAGAGAAAGAAGAGCGCCCATGGATGACGTCAACATATTGTGTATGAGAAGTACAGATAGTGCACATGCACGTTTCCATATGGGTGCTTGGGAGAAGATGCAGCGCTGCAGTTTCTGAACTATCTACAGGGCTACAATAAAGCACACTGGAACTAGGGCTTGGAGACATTTGAGAATACCTCCAGTCGATCTGCTAGTTGCTCCCACATGGGTTCCCCAACCCTCGCCGTGCTTCGCAGACCCGCTGCCACGAAAGGGAGAAGTCTTTCGAACTCCTGATCTACATGCTCATGGCTCTTACCCTCGGCCTGCGAAAGTAACACACCAAGATCCAGTAGTTCGATGATCGCTTTATGAATTGGCTTCACTTCCTTCGACAAGAGCGCTCGCTGGTACAATCTTTCCATACACTTGATGTGAATCTGGGACATCTCGTCGATATCATCGGCCTTTTCCATTGCCGAATTCATGTCTCGTATGGTCAGGAAGACGGCAGTCTCGGTGACATAAGAACGGAGGACATCGGCGAACCAGTTCAAGCGTTGCAGAAGTCTGTAGAACATCGGTTGACGATTCTTTCTGGATGCGCGAATGCGCGCGCGTTGCAGTTGGTATTTGACTCGGTATATCTGCATCAGGAATGTACAGATCTCTTGGTAGATGGGTATGGACGAGCGTTGGATGATGTTCTGAATCGACCAGGGCACCTAGAAAGATCGTTAGCTGGGATAAGAAAGAGCGCTCTTATAACACATACTGCATAATCCACGGAAACGGCAGCCAGACCCTTGACCGAGCTTCCCTGCGCCTTCGTTTTCATAGAACGAACGACAAGTTTCTCTGTGTCTGGGCCAGATAGAATTGTGCCGAAAACGCCGCGTGCAAGCTCCGTGAGGACGTATCGATCGTTCCAACCTCGTCTGCCGGCATCCATGCGCTCAAAAATCGCAGTGGCAAAGTCCTCAAACACGGCACCGTTCCTGCCCAAGTAAAGGGTTTCGATTGTATGGAGCACACGCATCAGGCCATCAGTATCGAAGATGTGTTGACGAAGAACATTTGAGGCGACTGAGTACTTGCTACGTATCCATGTCTCGAAGGCTGTCTGGAACAGTTCTGGGAAAGGCGAGAGGGGTACGTCGGATGACGTATCGCAGACTGTTTCATGGTCGAGGCGCGGCTCTGCCAGTGAGGAGTGTAAACCTGTATCGTAGATGCCCAGTTCTTTCAGGAAGATAACGCTTTTGCCTGTATTGAATATCTTCTTGACCGCTGGCTGTAGAAACGCAGGCAACTGCATGTGTTCCTCAGAATTGCGGCGGAGCATGAAGCGGTCATGCCAAAGGGAAGCGGCTTCACTTAGTGCATCGCTCGAGATGACAAAGAAGTTCTCCTCGTCAGGACCAAGCTCGCCGGTTTCCATCCACCGTCGGATTGGCTTCAGATATGTCTGTAAGCACTCAAAGAATATCTTCGACGTGTATGCAAAGATTTCGTCTTCCAGCGTCATCTGCGCTAGAGTAGTCTGCTCGTACAACGCTTCCAGGTGGTAAAAGGGATTAACAGGTATCGATGGATCTTGAGTTGCCGTTGATCGACTCAGACCATCGACAATCGGCGCCAGACGTAAGATAGGGTGACATAGTGCCCGCACATCGCCGTGCAATGGCAACAAACTGACGGGAAGTGGCGTATCAGGAATGAGATATCTCTGCTGCATCGCGGATAAGGAGTGGTCAAAGTCAAGTAGTCGCTTCCGTACAACGGCCTCGAAGGTCTGGACAAGAGGTGATGACGGTGGCTTCTTGGCTCGTTGTTGCAGCGTCCAGCGTCTTATCGCCTCTATACGTGTTCCAGTGTCGGCGAATTGAGAAAGGAGATGTGTGATAGCGGTTGATTGATTGTTGTCAACAGTATATGTCTCATTGGGGATGATGCTGTCCTTTTCGATCCGGTACAAGCTCGTCTTCAGCCCACCAAGCATGAATAGCGTTTCTCGCACAGCCTGCAGCTCTGTTATGTTCACGCCAGTGCTACTGCCATCCGCGCGCGAGGTCCAAAATTGCGCGTCTTCCATCTTGGTAACAAGATTCTCCTCTGTAGATGAGATACAGGCTTCGGGATCGAAAGTATCATCTGCGTCGAAATTGGTCGGTGGTGTGCTTGGAGCCTTCCTGCGCTTTTTGGGCGTTTTCTCGTCGCCCGAAGAGTCCACGGCATAGTCGATGTCCTTCCAGATATCCTCATCGCTGTAGGGGTCGTCTTCAAGGATCTCCGCCCAAGTCAGTGGCGGCGGAGGGCTAGGGGGTCTAAGCAGCTCTAAGGCTTCGACCTGGGTGTTCTCAAGAGGCCGATCGGCTAGTTGGAGTAAAAGAGATAGGAACTCTGGCTTAAATTTGTTCGTGTAGGCCTCCAACTTTTGAAGCCGTGTTTGGAGCGCATCAGCAAGGTCATCGCGGTTCTTGATGCGAAACTTCTCATCCAGTCCGGCAAAGCTCGCCGTAACGTCGAATTGATTCGTTCTTGCATACTGGTGCCCTCGAAGATTGCGCGATGCAATCTCCCTGGCGTGCCTGTAGGCCTGTTTGTTTGCTGCGGGATCGTGTCTCAGTATGGACTGTATCAGCTCGTCCGTAAGTCCGGAGATTTTCGCGTTTTGGGCCATAGTAACGCGTCCTCCACCTGCCGTCGCGAGATGACGCCAGCGGAAATAAGATCCTGGTAGTAGTGATATCGTTGTGGTGACTTGCGGCGGTTGATTCGGCTCCACTTGACAGAGACATCATGCCCGATGCAGGCTAGCGTGATCACGCACCGCGTCACCGCCGGCTGTGAAACTCGAGGTTGAGCGCTCCTGCGACTTTTCTGAGGCGGGACTGTGTCCCAACCCTCGGCCACCGCAACTGCAACTGCTCTTTATCATGGCGCTTCCCAAGGGCATGCGCTACTTGGCTGGCGCCACTTTCTGCATCTTCGTCTATCTGTTTGTGCAAATCCTCAAGGCCCCTGGTTCCGAGAAACCCGTCGAGATTCCGAGCAAAGTTCCGAACAACAAATTCGGCGACTGGGACCACGACCCCCAATTGGATCGTAAGGCAGCCTGGGATATGTTATGAATCCATCATAGATGCTAATCATGTGATCAGCCTCCGGCGAACCTCCCGAGCCGCTGCGACGAGTCGACGGTGACAACTACGCCCCAAACAATCCCGCGAGTGCGCGCATCAACGCCACGATCCTCAGTCTAGTCCGCAATGAAGAGCTCCACGACATGCTGCAAAGCATGCGCGACCTTGAGCGTACTTGGAACCACAAGTTCAACTACCCCTGGACCTTCTTCAACGATAAGCCCTTTACCGAAGAGTTCAAAAAGGCCACGCGAGCAGCTACCAACGCCGAAGTACGATACGAACTGGTTCCTGCCGAACACTGGGACATTCCGTCATGGATAAATATGGACTTGTACGAGGAGTCTGTGTCCCTGCTCACGTCGCTGGATGTACAGTACATGGGCAAGAAGTCTTATCACCAGATGTGTCGGTGGAACAGCGGCATGTTCAGCGAACACCCTGCGCTCAAGGACATCCAATACTACTGGCGGGTGGAACCAAACGTCCACTTCTTCTGCGATGTCGATTACGATGTCTTTGCTTGGATGCAAGACCACAACAAAACGTACGGCTTCAACGTCAACATCTACGATAACGCCGACAGCGTTGCGACGTTGTGGCCAGAAACGAAGAAGTTCATCCAAGACAATCCGGGATACGTACATCCAAACAATGCGCGCGAGTGGCTGGAAGACGACCAGCGCCGGCCTGAGAACAACAAGAAAGCCCATGGCTACTCAACATGCCACTTCTGGTCCAATTTCGAGATCGGCGACCTGAGCTTTTGGAGGAGCAAAAAGTACCGCGACTATTTCGACCATCTCGATCGCGCTGGAGGCTTCTTCTACGAACGCTGGGGCGACGCTCCAGTACACAGCGTCGCACTGGGACTCTTCGAAGACAAGAGCAAGATACACTGGTTCCGAGACATCGGATACCAACACATACCCTTTTTTAACTGCCCGAACAGTCCAAAGTGTTCCGGTTGCGTCACTGGTCAGTTTACAGACGGCGAGAAGTGGCTGAACCGGGAGGATTGTCGGCCGTTATGGTTCAAATATGTTGGCATGGACTGAGCTCTAGTCTGAGCAACGCTGCTGCGTATTGCCTACAGCTATGTGCAGCGTACAGTAGTCTCGGAAGTGACTGACATGATTGTACTTGCTCACCTTACGAGGGTTTTAGCTGTTGTGGAGTTATTTGGCGCCTGAGTATGTACGATTTCAATCTCGACATGACGCATTTACGTAAAGAAATAGTAAATATACCAATAGACGCAACGAATGATTACAGGATTTTTCGAACCCCAGTATCGGTTTGAACATCGCGGAGATCACACGACAGGCTGACTACAACTAATGGATCTTCACCCTGAATCCACCAGACGATATACATCTTCCCGACAAGTAACCTGTCCCGATGCGCTCGTATACGTTGTCCCCGTTACGGTCTCTCTGTGCGGTTGCAGCAATGATCAGAACGTAGTGTCGCTGAGTCGCAGACGAAGTGCTGCCTTTTGCCTTCCCTAGGACTACACAAAACCTCTTTGGTGCCGTAGACCCATTTGGCATGTTAAATATCAGGTCACCCTCTCCTTGCATCCCAGCCTTGAGGGAATTGTATTCTCGCGCTGTACCGTGGAGGGCTATATTTGCTGTGTGGAAATCTGTGCTTGACACATTGGTTGGACTCTTGGCTGACCAGGGTGATTGCAATTCCTCCCACTCAAAGTAGTCGAAATCAGGCTGGAGATAGTCGATCCCGCCGGTATATGCCATCCATGACCATGATGGGACCTTGGCGACGACGCTTTCTGTCGGGAAACGGATCCGAAGTAAGCTGTCAGTGTCGGCGCCCCGACACCAGAGCAGGCTTCGTCGGAGTAGACCACGTTTAGCTCCTTCATCAAAGACTCCGAACCCACCACTCACTCGCATTGTGCGAAGAAGACGTTGCTGAAGGCCGTCGATCGCAGTAGGTCGATCGTACGCCTTCGACAAATCTAGGCGCGAGAATTTGCGGTATAGCTCTTGATAGCGTAAAATCTTCTCGCCTTGGGGCGCATCGCGGACGATGTTGGGGAAGTCTGGGTCACCAAGGAAGGCCGCGAGAGGGCTGGAGAGTCTCAGTCAATCCGAAAAGGTCAGGAGTGGTGGGGGCAAACTAACTTGCTTAACTTCGTTGACGTTTCGCAGCGCACGCCATTGCCGCACTCGAAGTAAGTTTGATGCTCAGTAAAGAAAAGGGTTCGACGAGCGAGAGCATGTTCCTGTAAGACCCAGCCACGCTGGTGCAGCTCACCGTCAAGCACATGGTCTTTGAAGTTGTCGATATTCTGGCACAGGTAGAAAGGAGGCTGACCTTTGCTTTGACCACACAAACGGACACAATCTCGACGGCTGCGCGGCTTCAAGAAGCCGTCATAGTGGTCGGTGGCGCAGCTGGCTGCAACAACACAATATGCGCCGCTATAAACTTCTTCCATACGCTTGGCCTCAGTCATGAAGTCACCTTGTGGACCCTGTATCACGCAAAGTGAATCAATCCAAAGATGACGACGCCTAAGCGCACGAGTCACCTTTACTGCATATCTGAATGTGGCCGGGAGAGTTTTGAGTTCGATACCGTTGAGATGGTCGTGAAGAGTTTCGGGTGTGGTCGAAAGGTGTTGAGAACCCCATTTATGCGACAATGCAATCCATTCGCCCACGTCAGATGGTTTGGTCTCCCACAATCGGACCAGATCATCGTCATCTGTGCCGACATCAATTAGGCGCGTGGGCAGCCGTAATTTCGCGCCATTCGCCGCTACCTTGGGTGGGGAACATTGATGATGACCGTCACAATCGTTGAGCCAGTGCTGGAGCACCCCGAGGTGGGCAGTGCTGCCTGCTTCTGGAAGTTGGAAAAACCCCATCTGGGCATCGCTAATTGCCCTAGAGAGCTCTTCTGGATGACGGACGATGGACAGTACAGGGAGGCCGTTGCTTCTCATCCGGAGAAATGATCCTGTTCGGTCAAGCTTGATGCTTGAAGACTTTGCGCATCCGTCTCTGGTAGCAGTCTGCCAAAGCAGGACACATAAATTGCAGAACTTGCTCTCGGCGTTTAGTCGAAGGGTTTCGGTATCGTAGGACCTGGAAAATCCAGGTACGAATATCTCATCTTGAAGACAGATGCAGTTTGGGCAGAGCCGTGAGGAAGAGCCAATGTCGCTTGGTCCCAGTAACTTGCTCTCCTTGAGCTGGGCGAACAAATCTGAAACAACGTCATTGCCAGACTGGTACTTCCAGTCATCCTCATCGAGTTCTGGATGCGCGTAGTCTATCTGCGTCGTGAGGTTAGTCATCCGTGAACCGGCCAAACGGTCGCGTCAACTTACCCTCCTCTGAGAGGGAGCTATCAATCCGTCAATGCTGTCTTGGCACTGTTCCCAGTCTGGCTTCTGAAAGACCTCGCCAGAGTAAACTTCCGTGGTAGGAGAAGGTGGCAACACTAGGTCTGAGGTTGGGCGAAGTTCCAAAGGCTGCACCCAATATGTGAGCCAGTAGCCTTCATCTCCGTCCGGGTCTTCTGCGATAATTCCTTCCATTCGGGAGCGAAATTCATTTGCGAGGCATCGAGCAGGACCCTTAGCTTCTGGCTCGGGTTGTATTGGAATTCTCTCAGGCTCTGGATCCGCCGGAGTGATACTGAAGGAGGGGACGCCTACTGCAGGTGGTATATCTGGGACTTCTCCCGGGCCAAAAGGTGTTTCGCTGGCGGGAATGGCACTTGCTTCAAATCTCGCTTCCGAAACTACGGAGTCGGTACGAGATCGTTCAGAACGATCTGAGATATTCGTACCAAGCCTTCGTGGAAGCTTGACGACCAGTAATGCTGTTCTCACTAGTTCCAGAAGATCCCCTATCGCTGTAGTACCGGCCTGACACCTAGGATCCTCTCCCATTTTATTCATCCAGTATATGGCAGCCTTGTGCACATGAGCTACTTTCTTTCCATTCTGGATGCTGATCTCGTAGAAGCTTCCTTCTCCTAGGTCGGGGCGGAACTTTGTAAGCCCCTCGTGCCCTTCCAATAACCAGATGGTGAATTCCAAAGTAATGCATCCCATCGCCCAGATGTCGTAGAGACGTGAGCGGCGCTTCGTTGACTGGCCCAGATACTTAGCCCTTACGCCCGTTTCGACTTCAGGAGCCTCATAGACACGGGTGCCATATTTAGCTGTTGTTTTACTAGGACGCATCTCCGTGACCTGTCCGTGCTCTTTCGCTTCTCCCCAGTCGCCGATCTTCAGAGTGCCAATCTCACGCCCGTTATTGAAACATAGGATGTTCTCTGGTTTGATGTCTCCATGGCGGTATGATGAGCCGGTATTGTTGAGGTTATGGGCAGCGTCGAGTGCCCTGGCAAGTCCCAATATTTGGAACATGGCATCTTTCACCAATGCTACCGTCAGTGTTGGTGAAGGCACTCTTTTCCACATACTGCGGAGATTTCCCCCATCGGCCCACTCGAACATGAGGTAATGGTCTTGACCGTCTTTACCTCTGCGGCGTCGGAAAGCTGTTATGAAGCGAACGATGTGTTCTTGATTCAACTCGTTCATGGTCCGGAGGGCTTTGACCTCTCTTTCCCAATGTTCCGCAACCTCCTGTGCATCATCAGAAGACTGAATCTCCTTGACTGCAAAGGTACTACGGTCCAAAAGAGCCTGCCTTCTTTCAGTAATCGCCGGATATCGATGTTTGGTCGACAGGCTGGATACTCACTGGGTCCAGATGTTTGTCATGTAACGTATATTGCGAAACTACGCCGAAAGATCCTCTACCAGAGTCCGATTCTTTCGAAACGAAAGGTAAGATATGATCTTCTTCGAGGTTGTGGTTGTACCGGGCTGTCGAAAAGACTGGAGCAAGAAATTTCCACTGGTGTTCGCAAAATTCCGCAAACCAGGCTTGCTTCTTCCATTCCGGTTGGATAGTGATTGGCAGATCGCGGTCGTTCATATCCTTTTTTCTCCACCAATTCAGTGCTGCGAGCAACTTGGTTGGTCGGGTGTAGATGAAGATTGCGAAAACCTTCTTCGCATGCATGCGTATGAATTCCACTAGTTCGGCATCTCCGCGTGTGCGCGCATGTATCTCCAAGGCTTCACTAATGCTTTCCTCTGTGATCAGCTCGTGGATGATACCATCGGGCACAAACTTGTGTGGCGTCTTTTCGAATGCGCTTTTGATGAAGTTCTCGGATAATAATGTTCTGAGATCGGGTTTCGTATCATCGTCATCATCTTCGAAATCTGAGCCCTCAGTGTCAGGCGCCATGATACGGGACGATAACGACATGAAAACTCTATCTCAAATACACCACCTGAAAGTGAATTGTGTAAAAAGATTACGGCTTTGCGGCTTCTTCGAAACTCACGAGTGCTGCGGCAATGAATGTAGGATGGTAACGGCTGTCTCGAGCAAGGTTTTAAGAAAGTATGTAGCCATGCATGGGGGCGACCGAGCCACCACCAGCTGACCGAGATGTTACCCGCTTGAACATAGGGTTAAACAGCTATACATGAGCTCGCCACACTATTGCAATAAGCAGCGAATGCTTCCCTTCCATGTTCAAGGGTCAAGGGGCGATCGACAAACCAGCATGCGAGGCAGCGTGGGGGCCAGTCCTGCAATCCGGGGTACCTAGGCCTTGCGCCTTTTGGTGTCACCACGTGGAATCTCGTAACCAGACGAGGCGAATAAAGGATTGATTACACTGTGATATGAGGCGACTGGACGGTGTCGCGAGAAGTAGATGTCTCGAACGAGATCGGTGGTTGGGTATCGCAACGCGCAGCTGTCTGTCGCGTGATGACGTTTGCTTTTGCAAGATAGCCCCACTTCCTCTAGGCGCGTACCTCCCCCTAATAGACGCGCCCGCTACTGCAACCTTCCCACGTCCCATCACACAGCAGCATGCCGTTTCGGTAACGATCACAAACGCGAAGCCACGCGATGGTAGCCACCTCGCTGCAGGCCACATAGCCGAATCGGTGAACTCGAGCTGTTCCTGAGCAATCTACCGCTACCGGCACTCTTCTACATCATCCTACGCAAGAAAGTCAGGCACAACAGCAATTGTCATCAAGAAGTACCAGCATAACGGTGGAGCTCTCCCAGTGGCTTCAATGATATAAGCATTGTGCATCTTCTGCGGTTCTGAATTAGCAACTTCTATTCCTTGTCTTCTGGGGCCTTCATACAGGAAACTTTGGTCCAGCTTCTTCGTGGACTTTTCCGGGTGAATCTCGGCGTTGTCCAAAGATTGAACGATAATTTCGCTATCGGCGTTCGGCACGCTCTGGTCAGACGGGCTTCGTTGCTTGGACAGTGGCTTTCCGAAGGGATTTCCAAATTTCTTGATTAGACAGACCATGACGGCAATGTCTACACTGTACGATCCCTTCCTGGGAAGTCATCAGGACGTCGCCGTGTTTCCTTGGCCGTTGTACTTTGAGTCCTTGACGCTCGGAAGGCTGTGTCTACACAGTCGTCCAGGATCCTTCGGCCACAGTGTATCCTGGACAACCAATCATGCACCTAGCCAGCACACCAACTATGGCTATGTAATGAGTGCATGTTGGGGGCGTGAATGGCAAGGCGCCTGCTTCATGCAGTGCCATTATCCGTTCGTATGACGCGATGCAACGTAACACGATTCGTCCGCGGCCTCGTGCGATGGTTTCTTGACATGGAGCAACATCCACACGGGTTGTACCTCGCAATTCTGGGTTTCGAACTCTTTCAGCACCAGGGCGATGAGATCAAGCCACTTAGATATCGGTTGCGCGTTGATGACATTGTCGGCCAGGTCGAATGTCGCTCTCTCGAGGTTCAATGGTCGATAGACCAGACATTCTGAGAGCACAACATCACCGCCGCGTACCTTGTCCCATAGCGTACACTTCTGGCAGGGGTATCACAGATCCGCATGCTTTAACCCCGCACTGGATGGAAGTACGTACCGCCCAGCAGACTTCAAAGGTTTGGCCTTGAACACAATCGCTAGATCCAACCAGCAAGAGTGCGTGCAGTCTCATACCTCAGGCTCACAGTCTAAGCCAACTTGCACTATCCGGACCGCGCACGCACAATGGCCGTTGTCTCAAGCTCACTAGTAATCCCGAGCCAGCAGTCAGGGCTGAGGCCACCACGTGGTGATGGATCCGAGCCACGAAATGATCATAGAACGGTGAACACGTCTATGCGCAGCAGCGAGTGGGCCTTTTCGCTAAACAGTTCTTTCAATCTGACCAGACAACGAGGTGCGCACCAAACGCGGGAAATTATGGACTGCTGACTGACGACGCAAGACAGACCCACAGCCAAGACCACGACCACTGAACGAGCCTTTGTTTGCGTGCGGGGTAAACACACACTCCGAGTCTGGTTATGCTACCAACACAGCTCTCAAAGGTATCGATGAATTGGATAATACGATTTCACCTCCAGTGCCATCTCAGACAGAGAACACGACCCTGAGGAAAAGGCTCACCAATATCATTGTACCGAAGAGATCAGATGCTCTTGATATAAGGAAGCATGCTGTTAACCCAGTTTTGATTGTGCGACGATGGGCGCAAACGCGCTTGCCGAACGATAGTCCTACGTCACAGATTCCGAAGAGACTTCGTGAAGCCAGACGTCAAACACATCTCCGGACGTATTTCATACCAGAGGTTGAGATTGAAACAATCGTTTCAAGCGAGGCAGTGCGGCAAGAACTCCTGGACTCGAACTATTCGAAACTAGGAAGGATAAGGAAACCACGCTTGAGCATTGAGGATGGCACGCCATATGTGAAGATACTCACAGCCCTCTACCTTATGAAGCAGCCGTCCAAGATTAGACTTTTTGTCAAGTCTAGTGTCTGCGACAAAGACCTTCCGCTCGAGAAAGACCCACATTTCGACAGAGCGGACGGCTTTTATGAGCTGAGAAGCAGAAACAATCCCGAAGCCTGTGCGGTTGTATTCAAAAGACGGGACTACGCCGAAGAGTTTCTAGAGCATCAATGGAGTGTTCTTGCGCCCATTTTCTTCGGAACCGATGATGCTGCCGTTCCCCATGTTGATCTCGACTCAGAAGCAATCCTGCCATTCTTATCATGCAAGGAGGTTCTGAAACGAGGAGGATCCAGTACAGTTTACAAAACTAATATCCATCCTGAACATGATCGTTTGAACAATATGAGGGTATGTAATGTCCCCACGCCTAGTTTTACGGTGTAACAAAGCTAACATTCCCTGCGAATCAGCCTGGTTGCAACGTATATGCAATCAAAGCTCTGAAGTCAAGCGAAAGGAAGGCTTTTAGCCGAGAAGCTACCATTCTCACTAAGCTAAGCAGCCGTAAGCACGCCCACAATCACCTCGTCACCCTACTGGCCACTTATGAACACGATGGGGTTTATCACCTCATGTTCCCGTGGGCAGAGCTCGATTTATTCGACTTTTGGAAGCAGCGTACGCCTGAAGTCGAGGATATGGGTATGTGGGTTGTAGAACAATGTCGCGGCCTTGCGGCTGGACTAAATAGTCTGCATCGATACGCGACTCTCTCTGGAACTCTCTTGAACCACGCCTCCGACATACCAGTGCAGAAGGCGGCTGGGAGGCACAAACAATTTGGGTCAGTTCAAAATGCAAATCCAAGCCGGATGATGATGAATCTATTTGGTCGTCATGGAGATCTCAAGCCCGAAAATATTCTCTGGTATCCAGATGACATGACCACAGGCGGTCATGGTATTCTGAAGATTACTGATTTCGGGGTTACTCGTTTCAACACCGAGGATTCTTGGGACACGCAGCGTACAGGTCGCATACCAAACTCAGCAGCATATCGTTCGCCTGAGGTGGATCTCGACTATGTGCTCACTAGTGCATGTGATGTATGGGCTCTCGGATGTGTGTATCTGCAGTTCATTACGTGGTACCTTGGGGGGTATAAACTGGTTGAACGGTTTGGCCGAAGACGTTTGGCAAGCGATCCCTTCCTGGCAAACCGACCGACCGACACCTTTTTCTCTATATACTTTGAAGCAGGGGTGAAAAGAGCTAAAGTCAAATCTGCAGTCATCGAGGTCAGTCTATTCAGTCAACTTTTCTACGCTACGATGTTGCCAGGTTCAATAGTCGCTCATTGCTAAGCTACCTCAGGTCATGGATGAACTGAGAGCGCATCAACGCTGTACCGTTGACTTCAAAAACTTCCTTGACATAATCAAAGACGACATGCTGGTGGTCCATTGGCAAGAAATGCCAGAAGATCAACACGATATCCCAGTGCTTCGAAAAACTCTATCAGAGTCAGCCAGCACTCAACTGTTGGGTAATTTGCGAAGAAAGAGTTGTGGGGATGTATTCCGCAGTCTGGGCGAAATCAAGCCCTGCTACGATCAGGAAGAAGATTTGACGAGGCGCGATACTCTCGATCCAGTTTCACCCATAACTCTACGCAACCATGTATGGCCTAACCCACAGCCATCAGCCAACAGAGCACTGTTGTCTCGCGGATTGACTTTTGGCTGACAAATCTTGGTCTTCAAATCAATGGGAATCGGGATAAGTTGTGGTGTGACATGCTGGGGAAGAAGGGAATTGTGCGCAGCTTGCCACTTTCCCAATGTCAGTCGGCACGATGGCTGGGCTTTTCCATGCAAGAGATGTTTCAATACGTACGATTATCTCGCTGTTTTGTTGTCCTTTGCCCATTGCCTAAGGATGAAGCGGGGCAGTGGCCCGACAGTACCCGCAGGCGAGCATCTCCGCATATAACGGCAACGTCAACACTAGGCAACAGCAAATGACACCGAGATAGGGCGCAGAAAGAAAGACAAGGAAGGAATTCATCGCACGATCAGCATAAAGTTCATCGAACGCAGTTCACTGAGTTCCCGGACATCTGAATTCGGCCCTTCTCTTAACCACCATGACTTTTACCGTCCTCTCCGACGCCGACATCAAAACCCTCCTCCACAACATTTCTCCATCCGATGTCCAGAACCTCGCATCAGCACTCAACCAAGCCCTTACCGAATACTCATGTAACGATGAAGTTCCCTACCAACCACATCGCGCACATGTCGCGCGACCAAATGGCCAAGTCAGCCTCTTCATGCCAGCAACAACACCATCATCTATCGGTGTGAAGATAGTCGGTGTCGCACCATCTCAAGCGCCCCCACCAGGAGAGAAGCCAAAGCCTGCACTGCGGAGCGTCCTCACGATTTGCGATGAGCTAGGACAGGCAGTAGGTGTATTGAACGCAGCAGA